AAAAAAAAATCACCTTTGTTGTATTTTGTAGTAGTTGCTGCTATTGACAAAGACTCTCTCCTTAGTCCCTCCGAGTCCGATGTTTGACAAGGCCTAGCTCTTGAGCTTGTCCTTAGCCCCCTTGGTTGTTTGAGCAAATACCCTGCTAAATCAGTTTAGTGAAAATTCCCCACCCTCAAAAATTCCTCATTCCACCCTCATTCAACCACTCTGGCCTGCCTTCAGCAAGAATCCTATCAAGTTGATTTAGCCAGATCCCCCTTACCCCTAACGTTTCCTCTTAGTAATTTTCCCTCTGGTGATATCTTCCCTGTTCCTTGACTATAAACTCCCATTTATCCTTGTTGCATTCAGAAGGAAGTGCAGTTCTTTACTGAGGTTTCTTTTTTCCCATTGCAATAGTTCTTAAATAAGATTTGCTTTTACCACTTTAACTTCTGCCTCCCTCAAGTTTTGACACTGTTTTTAAATGTTAGCTTTCAGGGCCCACTGCTAGGCAGTGTGATTCAGTGGGTCTGTTCTGGGATAGGCTCCAGAAATCCAGGTCCTTTAAAAAGCCTCACTGATCATTCTGTTAACCCGCCAGGACTAAAAACCATTGATGGAAAAACTAAAGGTGAGAGTTAAATCAATGTTGCAGTCAATATTTAAAGAGTGCAACACAAAGCATACAAGCCATTAAAAACGATAAACACTAAAATGATATAGAGCAGTTGAGGCGGAAAAAAACTTTTTCTCTACCCTCTTAAGGTTCTGTCTTGGAATGTGCGAATTAAACTGACAAAAGACAGGTTAACAGGAGAAAAGGTACACAAATGTTATTTGATGTTAACATTTTAATTTTAGGCTCAGAGGCCTTCATAAAAAATAAGTGTAGTGAAGACTGGGGAGGGGGGGTAAGGGCTAGGTGGAGGTGGGTAATGAAGGAACATCTGTAATACTGTGAACAATAAAAAAAAGAGAGAGAGACATGAAACTATGCAATGCATGGTCCTGTTTGGGATCTTGGACCAGAATGAAATTGTTATGAAGGACATTATTGGGACAAGTTGCAAGATTTGAAATAAAAAACTATAGATCAGAGAAAGCAATACTGCAAAAGGTTAACAGTAAATCTGGTAGAAAGATAAGCAAGACTTCTTCGCACTATTCCGGCAACTTTTCTATACGTTTGAAATAATTTCTAACTAAAAATAAAAATTTAATAATAAGTTTTTTAAAAGTATCCTAACACTTTAGAAAAACCAATCACATGAGGCAATCACTAAAATATTTTATTTACTCCAAAGTTTAATCAATACAGCAAGAAAAAAAAAAAGTGGAGACCCAAAGTAGTAGTTAGACCAGGGCTTATAAAGCATTTTAATAAAGGGTGTTAAATTTTGGAGAAGTGACAAGATGAGGAAAAGGGATTGGGCTTCTAGGGTTGATAAATTATGGGAAGTAATTACATGGAAAAAAACAATAGAAGATAGGGTTATTTTAGGAAAGTTTGTGCAGACCATCTCGATGCCAACTTTCTGTCTCCAGTGATGAGCTGTCCTCCTCCTGGTGTAGGAGAGGGGACAGAGAAAACCCTCACAAAGGGAAATGTATGTCCTACTTTTAGGCAGCTGGTGGGAGGAAAAAGAGCTCTTTTTTCATTTGCTGCTGATTAATTGCCTTCAGCTCAAAATAATCCTTATACCAAGTGGTATATTTTGGGGTGGCATATCACAGAAACATGGGAAAGTATATAGAGAAAATTCAAAAATAGAAAATTTAGGATCTATGTTAGTGGTGCCAAATATATAACAAGTACAGGTCCTACCCGCAGACTAAAAGTGAATGAGCTCATTCAAAAAGTCTGCCAGGAATATATCCCATTTCCACTCAAGAGACTGCCAACTTGATAGCTAGTACAATGATCTTATTCAAGATCATTTATGTTATAAACAAGCCTAAGTTCTTAGAGAAGACTTGCAAAAGAAATTTCACTTATCTATTACAAAGATCATTATCACAATGTTATTTACACCCAAAATCACCTGGCAGGTTCCTGTGGTTGGCAGATAATTTTTAAAATATTTGATAGAAATCAAAGATGAATGAAAAGCTATTATTGTAAACAACGTTACCTCTGTGCAAATCCAGCACACAAAATGTAAGCAATAAAAACTACCTATAAAGATGAGAATCTTTAGTAATCATTCACTCCTACTGCTGATCAGTATGAAGTCCAAACTCCTTAATTTGGGCTTATGGGCTCCTTCATGCACTGGCCAAGCTTGACTACATAATTTCTACTCTTCTTTCCTGGATTCTCCTAAAAATTAAGGTAGTTTCCCTCCCAACTTTTCTCACAGCAACTCTGTAATGTAATTTATTCGCTTATCATCTTCTCCCATTTAACTATAAATCTTTCGGGCAGGAAATGTGAAGTCTAGCATGCTGTAGGGACACAGTGAATAAAACAGAAAAAAAAATGGTGAGCTACTAGCCTGACTTAGGGAAAACCTCAAGATATCTAAGGCAGGTCCATTTATACTAATCATCCTTGAGCTTCTAAATGACTAAAACGTACATTAATGTAATGAAACAACAATTTCTCAAAGAGGCCTACTATTTTATTTACCAAGCATCTAGTGTATACCAGGTCTTAGAATGACAGAGATGGATAGAATCTAGTTTTTGCTTTCAAAATTGATTTATTCCACCCATCAAAAAAACTTTTTTTTTTAACTGCAATGATAACAAAAACTAAAACATTAAAGATCATTAATGAGTTACTTTAAGGGTAGTGGAGTAGGAGGTAGGAAGGGAAGAGAACAAACTACATAAAGTTGGAAAGCTCTCTTTTAGCCAGGGAACTATTTAACCAGGCAGTTAATTCTTGCATGAATTTTTGTTCATCAAGATTAAGTCCAAAAGAAAATAACGGTTACTGTCTAAACCCGGGGTTCTCAACCTTCTGGCCCTTTAAATACAGTTCCTCATGTTGTGACCCAACCATAAAATTATTTTCGTTGCTACTTCATAACTGTAATGTTGCTACTGTTATTAATCGTAATGTAAATATCTGATATGCAGGATGATCTTAGGCGACCCCTGTGAAAGGGTCATTTGACCACCAAAGGGGTCACGACCCACAGGTTGAGAACTGCTGGAACCATCAGTGGGTGGGCAGGCATGACAGAGGATCTCTACAAATATATTCCAAGACCAAAAAGGGGCAGTATTGGGGTTACCAAAGTCTTGGCATTCTCTTAATACAGTGGTCGGCAAACTCATTAGTCAACAGAGCCCAATGTCAACAGTACAATGACTGAAATTTCCTTTGAGAGCCAAACTTTTTCAACTTAAACTATATAGGTAGGTACATTGTTATTAACTTAATTAGGGTACTCCTAAGGCTTAGGAAGCCACACTCAAGGGGCCAAAGAGCCGCATGTGGCAAGCCGTTTGCCAACCACAGTCCTAATATAACAGGGTATTCATGCTAATTTAATGGAAAGCATACCAAATGCCCTCCTGCAATCTCCACCTGTGGAGAATGTCAGGGAATGTTTTAAATACCATTTTGAACTCCTTCTTATTAATTCTTTTATTCCCGTTCTTGACCTTTTATCAAGAAACTCTCCAACTCTACCACTTACATTTCAGAGAGAACAGGTACCAGTTAACTTTATCAGAATCTAAGAGCTCCATATATAAGATTATATGCTCTTGACAGTTTTATTACACAGTGCTGGGCAATGTCTATTTTCATGTTTTACTTACTTTAACCTTTTTGTTCATGTTTTCTATGTCCATATTTTTGAAGTGATCACTGGGGTAGATAGTGGGTGTCATCATAGAGTGGGCAGCTTTCCCCAGTTAAAATTTTCCTATAAGCACCACAGTCATTGATAAAATGCAACCCCAATTTTTGTCAAATGTATGTCCTGAGAAATGGCCACAGGTGTATTTTTTTGTTTTTGTTTTTTTTAAACATACTTCACTGATTTTCTACAGAGAGGAAGGGAGAGGGACAGAGAGCTAGAAACATCGATGAGAGAGAAGCACTGATCAGCCGCCTCCTGCATACTCCCCACTGGGGATGTGCCCGCAACCAAGGCACACGCCCCCGACCGGAATCGAACCCGGGACCCCCCAGTCCCCAGGCCAACGCTCTATCCAGTGAGCCAAACCAGCTAGGGCCACAGATTGTATTTTATAGAACATAATAAAACCCTAATAAAAAGTGAATGCCATAAAAATCTTTTTCTATTTATATAGTAAAATTAAGTCACAATTCATTTTTTAAAGAAGCTCATATAGAAATCAACCTTCCATTAACCAATAGATATGAGTTTCATGTATGTGAATAGCTTCAATTTAACATACCATAGATTTCCCCCTAAGATGTGGTGCAAACCAACACCTTGTAAATTAAATTGTATTTACCTAACATAAAAATTTCAGCACATGCATGATTTCCAATCAATCTTGAATTGGCAATTTAGCTTTTCTAACTCAGTCAACTATGGAGTTTCTCATTTTTGAGAGTTGGCTGTAGCATTTGCAACAGGAAGCCTATTCTGCAGTGTGACTCACTTTGACTGATTTTAGCACAAGCTTTACAACAATGTTGAGACTTTTTACAACGCTTAAGGCAATAATTCTAATATCACAACTTTAAGTTTATGTCCAAGTTAATAATGTTCAAGCTCCTAATGCTCTAATCCTTTATTTAAAATAATAAAGCTAACATTTTAAAATCATTTACTATGTGATCTTTCGGGCCACTTTAAATCGTATTTTTTCATTTACTCTTCATAAAGAACCTTAGGAGCCAACCCTATAATTATTCCTAATTTACAGAAAGGGAACAGAGAGCAATAGGGAAATCAGGTCACTTGCCTAAGACCAGAGAGCTAGTAAGCGATGGAGCCAGAATTCCAACCCAGGGCTTCTGCCTTCAGAGGCTAAAGATCTATTCTGTAAAACGCTGAAAGCTGATCACTGACTAGAAGAGACTTTACATTAGAAATATGACTACGCAGTAGTAAAAAAGAATCTCTTATCCGTTGAGACAGCATGGAGGGACATGGAGAGTATCATGCTAAGGGAAATAAGTCAGAGAGAGACAAGTATCACATGATCTCACTCATATGTGGAACCTAAGTAACAAACTGATGAACTTAGTGGATCCAGAGACATGGAAGATGGAACAGAGAGCAGAATCTGAGGGAAGGAGAGGATGTAATCAACCAAGAACTCTGTTTGCATATATGCACGGCCCATAGCCACAGACACTGGGGTGGTGAGGGCCTGGGGCGGGGGCAGGTTGGAGGGAGTCAATGGGGGGAAAAGGACATGTGTAATACTTTCAACAATAAAGAATCATTTTTAAATATATGTATATATGACAAATATAACAAAATATGACAAATATATTGAATTTGTCATATTTTGTTCTGGTTTCTGAACCCAAAATAGCTCAGGTAATCCTTTTTCTTTAAATATCTTTTTATTGATTTCAGAGAGGAAGAGAGAGACAGAAACCTCAATGATGAGAGAGAATCCTGGATCGGCTGCCTCCTGTACGCCCCGCACTGGGGATGGAGCCACCAACCCGGGCATGTGCCCTTGAACAGAGTAGAACCAGGGACCCTTCAATCAGACCCTTCCCAAAATAGCTCAGGTAATCCTTTTTCTTTAAATATCTTTTTATTGATTTCAGAGAGGACGAGAGAGACAGAAACCTCAATGATGAGAGAGAATCCTGGATCGGCTGCCTCCTGTACGCCCCGCACTGGGGATGGAGCCACCAACCCGGGCATGTGCCCTTGACCAGAGTAGAACCAGGGACCCTTCAGTCAGACCCTTAAGGCCGACACTCTGTCTAGCAGCCACTACCCCAAACCAGCTAGGGCTCAGGTGATCCTTCCTAATGGTAAATTAAGGGTAACAGTAATAAGGCGAATTTATTGAGGAGCTACATGAGCTTATCCGCTTAGCACCGAACTTGGAAGGCACCTCCAGGAAGCACTGGAAAAAGCGGTCTTTTATCCCCATCATCTTAGTCAACGCTTATTGTGAGAGGATGGGTCCTGGGTTGTCTGTGCTTCTACCCAAAACTAGGCAGCACGGTGCCCCGCACAGAACGTGACCTTGGCAATCTTCACCGCGGCCCGAGAAGCGAGGTTACTACCGCCCCTTCCCCACTGAACAAATGAGGAAACGGAGGCCTCATCGGTGCCCAAATCCTGAAGCCGGCGAGCAGTGTGGAGAGACAGGGGGCAAGCCCCGGGTTACTTCTGGATCGCCCGCGCCCATCCCTGGGACTCAGTGTTCCTTCTCACCTGTGAGATCTACACCCTCGGGGAGGCCAGGGTGCACCATCTCCGACCTCCACGGCCGCCTCCCCCACCCCACTCCACGCAAAAAGCTCCGGGAAAAGGCACCGGGCTGGGCGCCCAGGACGCCCACCGGTCGCCCTCCCTGCCTCCCTCGGAGCCGCCTCAGGGCCCCGCGCCCCCGCGCACCCACCAAGGCTACCTGAGCAGAAGCGAGGAGCGAGGGGCACGCCGCTGGGAAGCGCCAGGCCAGGAACCGACTCACCGCTCTCCGAAACACCGACGCGTTCAGGTCCCCAAGCTTCCCCGCCCATCGGGGCAGCGGGCGACGGCAGCCAATGGGCGTCAAGCCACTGCAGATCTCAGCCAATGAGAAGGCACCAAGCTGCACAGGGGAAGGCGGGCCGAACGTCTAGCCACGCCCGCGTCTCGAACCCGGTGCCCCGAGGGCTAGTCGCTGAAGTTGGCCCGAGCAACGTGTGTTTGCTTGGATTGGCTGGCGTGGCGGCGTGCGGAGTGCTGATTGGTCCCCGGGAGATGGAATGATTCCGCGTGGGTGGGAGGTGGCGGGAACCAGCCGGGGTTCCTTGGTTACGAAGTTTCCTCTGGGTTTGTCTCGGGCCGGGTGTCCCAGGGCCGATTCCCGCTGGGAGACACACACACGCACAGAGGGAGGGCATGGTGACAGAAAGGGGTTGGGCTGGCTTAATCTCCTCGACTATTCAGTTGTCGTGCCACGCAGCTGCACTACCCCCCAGGACCGAAATCCAAGCGGAGAAGGCGCCTGGGCTGAGGGTGACGCGCCCCTCTGCCCCCACTTCTCCTGACTTAGAGTTGAGGACGCATATAAGCAAAGTCATTGCCACAGGGCGAATCTGTGTTCTCAGATAAGGGAATTTAGAGGCCAAACAACCTTGACATTAGAGAAGAGGTGTGGCAGGTGGCGTTAGCAGCCTCATAAAGTGTTCTGGTTTTCATCTCTTTGAAGGTAACATTTTTTTTTAATTTCAAGTCATTTTATTTATTTATTTTTAAGCAAGTTTACTTTTAATATGTAGAATCTGATCCAGAAAGAAATTTGAAATGATCAGAGTGGCCCAAATATATATCAATTACAGACAGATAATGTAAAGCCCCCCAAAAGGACATATTCCCTGAGTTGCAGATTTGATGGCAGAGCTGAGTTATGACCCCAAGAATTCTGGATTTTTCTTGCAGAACCAAAGCAGTTCTCGTCAGAAACTCCTAAATAAGGATCTCTGTGCTGCAGCTGGTTACTGGGTGGATAGGATCAATAAAACTGCAAGATGTGCCAGGAGGTATGAAGTAGGGACTTGATTTCCACTTAAAAGTTGTGGAGGTGGGCAGCAGATCCTATGAAAGAAGCAAGACACACATGGAGAAACTTTTTTTCAAGGGGGTTCCTTCTGCCCGGGTCACCTGACAGATACAGGGGCTTCTGCAGTCTTTCTGGTTCTGAAAGGTTCACTCCAATCAGGAGTGAAGATAACTCTTGATCTAGTGGCTGTGGAGTCACCCATCTGATAGGATATTTGGCAAATCTGAATTCTAAGAATCAGGTGTTGGCAAATTATATTTACTAATATATATAGTTTACAAACCAGGAATAAGAAGGAATGCACTGCTACTCCATTAGTCACTATTGATAGACTTGCAATGAGAATAAATAATACTTTATAAATTTTAAAATTAGCATCACTGAAAGAATCACCACACACCAATTGCTATTATTCGCTTTTTAAAAAAATCTTACCCCAATGTTTATCTACAAAAGGAATGATAGCCCTAGCCGGTTTGGCTCAATGGATAGAGTGTTGGCCTGTGGATTGAAGGGTTCCAGGTTCGATTCTGACCAAGGGCACATGCCTGGGTTTCGGGCTCAATCCCCAGTAGGGGGCGTGCAGGAGGCAGCCAATCAATGGTTCTCTCATCATTGATGTTTCTATCTCTCTATCCCTCTCTCTTCCTCTCTAAAAATCAATAAAAATATATTTTAAAAAATAAATAAAAGGAATGATAATTTGTATAGTGATTACTTTTCCATTATCATCTGACAAATAAAACACATCTACCTTGGGGCTAAGTGGATTCAATGAAATATAAAGTGTGTAAAAGTTTATACAAAACACTTTCTCACAACTATCTCAAAGTATTACCATTTATATGCAAACAAGGACCACAATAATTGGCCAATAAATAATTAGCAAATTACTTTAAGACAGATTAGTTTCTGAGTAGCTGGACTGGAATTTGGTTCAAGTCTGCTGGAAACTCTTAACTCCCACAAAAATCAATGGGTTTCATAGTTCTCTGTCAAGTATATGTGCACAGCAGTGGGGAACAGAAATAAAAGGCCTAATCCCTACCCAGAGGTTTACCCAGAGGAGGAGAGGAACAGGTTCTCATACCCTTTTCAGAAAAGTAGAAAATTTGTATCTAATTATTAGCATTCAGATGTGGGTAAGTTGCTCAGCAGTTTTGCATATTCTCTCACAGAACCCAGTAGAACATTTTTAAGACAAAATTAATGGCTTTTCTTTTTGTGTAAGGGGTTGCTGCATAAGGTCATTACATCACACTTATGGCCAGTAGGGTGGTTTCTATTTCTTTGCCTTTTGTTCTTCATCGGTTGTCATGTTTTTGGTGGTTACAAGTTAGGGTAATTAAAAACTACCCTATGTCCATCAAACTGGAATGCTACTAAAAGCAAAACTGCAGGTTCAGAAAAAATATATGTCCTCTAGAGCTTTTGATGAGGACTTACTATGGACCAAGCACAGTGCTAAGCATTTTACACATATTGATTCATTTAACCCTGATAACAACTCTATAAGAATGCACCATTATTATTATACTCACAATGTAACTATAGCATAGAGGACAACAGACAGGTCCCCCCTCCAAATAATGTTAATATGGAGAAATAAACTTTTCATCCAGAGTTTAACTACAAAAGAGATTTGTAATGTATTTGACCAACTGTATGGAAAAATCACCCTAAAGAGACAAAACTCATTTAGCTTCTCTGGCAAGTTCTGACTCTAATCAGACTAAATATATTAACAAACCTAAAGAGCTTCCAAGAGGAAAAGCAGGAAAAAAATTCAAAACACAGAAATAATATATCCATAATTTCTGACCAAGAGGTAATAAATCTAGAAACAAAACACACATGCACAAATATCCCCAACTACTTAAAAAATAAAAAATAAAAAAATTGTCCCCAAATTCTGATCAAAAAGAAAACCAATTATTAATAAAATATTTAAAATATCAATAAATATTACCATTAAGAAAAATAAATTTAAAATAAAATCCCTGTAATCAAAACCAGGGACTATGACAAATTTAACAGAGCATTTGACTCAGAAAAATTCATAGCTTTAATTCAACTCAGCAAATATGGATGAAATACCTGCTGTAGGAAACCTGCTGAAACTGGGGAAGGTTATAAAGTGGCCCCAGCCAATTCCAAAGCTGAATTTAATTCTGAACCTTTTATTTATATAACCAAATAAATGTTGTTGTTTTTCAAGTCAATTTGAGTTGATTTTTCTCTCGTTTAGGATGAAAGAGCCTTTGGGAAATAGAGGGCCCCTTTTCCCTTGCCACACTTTCTCCCTTTGTTTTATCCAGCAATGGGCCTGGAGCCAGGGAAAGGGTGGGGGTGTTGGGACAGGATGTCCTAGACTCAGTTCTAAGGAAGGAGGACCTGAAAATTTTCAGCTTTGGCTATGTGGAGACAACGGGAATTCCTGCATTCCTGGGCAGTTTCTGCACCTAATCTGAGCAACTTTCTGGGTGAGGCCATTTATACATATGTCAGAATCCTATATTATAAAAGGCTAATATGCAAATCAACTGAAAGTCAGAATGAGCTGCCGCTATGATGCGCACTGACCACCAGGGGGCAGATGCTAAAAACAGGAGCTGCCCCCTGGTGGTCAGTGCGCTCCCGCAGGGGGAGCACCGCTCAGCCAGAAGCCCTGGTGAGCACAGTGGCAGTGGCAGGAACCTCTTCTGCCTCCGCGGCAGCACTAAGGATGTCTGACTGCCTAAGCCTTCAGTCGGACATCCCTTAGGGCTCCCGGACTGCGAGAGGGCACAGGCTGGGCTGAGGAACCCCCCCCTCCCCCCGCCCAGTGCATGATTTTCATGTACTAGGCCTCTAGTATATATATAAAAGTTATGTTTTTCTTTTGTTGTTACAAATATCACAAACACCCAAGGCTGTGTTTAAATGAGTTTCCTTAAGGCCAAACTGCATTTTCTACATTTGGATTCCATGAAATTCTCCCATATCATTTCAGTAAACCTTGATATCTTGAATGGGTTTCTGTTCCTTGTAATCCTTCCCTGACTCAAAGAGGTACAACACTTGGCCCATCCCTTCACGGAGATTTTTTTACATGCTTAAACAAATCAACTAATGCCAACTATTAGTTACATGCGCTTGTCAAGGAAAGAGAAGAGTTTGCACAACTTACTAAAATGTGATTAAGAATATTTTCTTTGCAGGGCTGTTATAATTATTTGAGACAGTACTGCAGAGGCTGGCACAGCTTTTGGCACTGCATGGCACACAGACAATGGCAGTGGGCGTTAGGGAGGAACACTTGAGTGAGAACAGGAGTGAGGGTGTGGAGCACAAAGGTCTGCAAATCTCCCATTCATTTGCATCATGAGAGGCATTTTTAAAGTAAAGATGTCAAACCCTATTCTAAAACTACTGGTTTAGTAAAACCAGAGTCTTTGGGGATGCAGATCTAGGAATGTGACTGCTAACAAGCCTCCCTGGATTGTGCCACCTTGCTCATCTAAGCCCAGTATGACTACTGTGTAAGAATTCCTAGAAAAGAAGGGGCCAGAGGAACAGGCAACTGTTAAGAATCAGTAGGGACAACACTGAATTGTCCATGGTATTTGTTTCTGTTACTTACGTCCTGTGTTGTACTCTTTTGTGCTATCTGCCCTACTGTTTAAAGTTTACGCGCATTGGTTTAAAAAAAATAAATATACTTTTAAGAAGATTTAGGGCATGTTTTAGTAAAACATGTTGTACCAATGTATACAAAATATTCAATTAGGAGACCATAATTAAAACAAGCAAACAAAACTCAACTTTTACCTATTGTTCATATATCAAAATATTCAGATGTGCCGAAACCGGTTTGGCTCAGTGGATAGAGCGTCGGCCTGCGGACTGAAAGGTCCCAGGTTTGATTCCGGTGAAGGGCATGTACCTGGGTTGCGGGCACATCCCCGGTTGGAGATGTGCAGTAGGCAGCTAAT